CCCCTCCCTCTCAATCTCTAGTAGTCTATTCTAAATCTTCTGGCCTCTTTTGTGCCTTGTTCTTTCATGCTTGCTTTATACAGTTTGTAGCGATCCCATTATTTCCCCCCTATAGTCTTTTTGACATACTATCTCATGTGCTGTTCACACGGCTTCGCTTACCATTTTAGGAAGTTAACATGGAAGTAAAAAGGACTCCTGAGAGCCCGCGTCTGCAAAATGTAGACTTAAGGTGCAAAAGTGAAGCATAGCAGAAGTACTTAAGCTTAAGTTCCAACCAAATGCTTAAAACTGCTGCCAAATTGGTAAAAAAACATCCTCTGTAGCAGCTGATATCCTATCCTGACTCTGACCTGCCTCTGTCACAGCCTGGCCTCTCTTTTAGACATTCATCTCTCCCTCCCCTTTAGTTCAGTCAACCCTTTCTGTACCCCTCCGGTCCATTTTCTCTGGCCTCCTCCCTCCCATTTGCCTAATGGAGGGATGGTTTTAATGGATTGCCCAAAGCAGCAGAGGGACAGACACTCCTGCCTCTCTACCTTTAGCCCTGCACTCCACTCCTATCATCTCCTTTCTTGTGTCTCGAGCTGAAGTGGAAACGTGTTTTTGTTACTTTCCTTTGTCTTGTCGCCTGGGCAACCCCTTTTCGGTTTGTAGAGAAACTCATTCACTTGGTTCGACGGAGTAGCAGGGGTTCCCCGCTACTCCGTCACTCCAAATAACTAACAAAGCAGTCACTTTGGTCAGCAAGAGAAGATCTCGGGGGTGGAGGGCAGTGACCTCAAATCAGCATTACACTCAATGGATTGGCTTTTTTTTGGGATGCACCAATCTGACATTTGTAGCTCTGGTTTTGTAAAACAAGTGGGAAAGAAGAAGCCAAATGTCACTACTTATGTTGCTTTAGGGAGAATACGTTGAAAAAATGAAATGGAAGCAGAGAGACTCCTTCAAAAGAATGAATGTGTTGGATTTTCCTGTTATAAGAGTTATTGTTTGGAAAATTTCAGTGGCTGACATTCAGGAAGGTCAGGTGCAAGGAGAGGATGAGGAAGGAGGGAAGGGAGAGATGATTAGAGGAGGAATACAGAAAGAAGGATGTGAACAAGCTCATGGGAAAGGGCTGACTGTTGAAGGGGCACGGGAGCGTTATTGTAAGCATGGCTCAGAGAGAAGGCATCAGTTTAAGTGTGCAACCTTGGAGGAGCCGGAGGTGTGGATACTGTGCCTGGAAGGAGAAAGATGAAAATGATTGGCTAGGAGCAGATGGAGGCCTGGTCGATGGGGAGGTCAGTGGTTGAAGCCAATAGTTGCTATTAGTCAAAGTAGGGTGGAATCCATTAATGTGTATCTGCTGATGTCACTGGAATCATCCAACTGTGAATGTCTTGCTAGTGTCGTTCGGTTGTGATAAGGGTGCAAGACAATGGTTGTAAGTTGTCAAATGGAAATTACATGGATTCTAAAAATAACTTGGTTACCTCTTTCTAAGTTGTTGTTCCGACTAGTCATACTCGCTTCCATTAGTTAAAGGCGGGAACTCATTTTTAGATTATTCTGTCGACACACGAAGGCAGCACAGATGCACTGTCATTTGTTAGATGCTTTTATTCCATACATTCAGCACTGTGGCCAATCCCCACAGGAGCAATTTGAGGTGGAGTGTCTTGCCCAGGGACACAACGACATGCTGACTGCAGTGGGACTTGAACTTGCTACCCCCTGATTTGAAGTCCAGCACACTATCCACTGAGCCACAGCCTCCCAGATTTAGATTCTGGGTTCTTTTTTGGCCCGTGCTACTTCCTTCCCTTAAATTTTTTGAGAGTTGGGCCAGTCGTTTTTTCGTAATTGTTGTCCTGCTGACAGACAGAATATTAGAGATAACAGACCTACTGTTTCTTTCTTCTTGCATTTTAATCTCCAGCGTCATTTGCAGTAATTCTGTGTCTCAACACTTTGTTTGCGTCTTTTTGTCATTTCAACATGTCTGTCTCCTTCCCCATTTCCACCGCTTGCTGTCCTCTTCCTGCCCTTTGTTGTAACAGTCATGCAAAGTGAGTTGGCACGGCACATGAAGTGAATACCCCACTGCAAGTGTGTAGATTGAGGTATTTGGTCAGTTTTGTTGTCCAATGTTGTCTTTATTATTGTATTAATCTAAATAAATCGTAAACTATTTTTGTCAGTATTGGCCTGATACAGCCAGTATCTGTGATCGCTTATTCAACTAATTTTGAAGAATCCCTAAGGAAAGAATGTTCTCAAAATCCTAATACAGACATTCGAATAATCATTTTAAGGAAGACGTTTTTCACATATGTACTGTCATCCATTGTGCGGTTATACATTGTGCATTAGTTTCCCCAAAGACACAGAAAAGCGCATTTCTTCACAGAAGCTCCTCCTCATATTGTTTCTCTGAGTTGATGGCTGACTCGTGATGATAGCGCTGATATTTATGATCGTAGAAAATAAGTGAGACTCTGCCTTTCTGTCCCATTACTTCATTTGCCTATAACACTCCCTCTCAGCCGGCATCTGTCCTCACTGGGGAATAAGAAGGGAGNNNGGGGGGGGGGGGGGTGGACAGAAGGATGATTAAGGAGTATGTGTACTTTAATGTACCTCTTCTGACTGTGTGTAGGCAGGCCTTGTTTAGTTGCCGCCTGGGTGGGCTGGAAGGA